CAGAAATGTGTAAACTAAAGTGTCTTTTCATAAAACTCTAATATCCTACCATTGATTTGAAGTACTAGCTGAATTAATTTATCTCACACAAGTTACAAGGCTCCAACCTACAATCTCTATGATGGAGTGGTTAAAAATAACAGAATTTTAGCTATGTTGTTGAGTCTGCTGCAGGGGATATAAAGAGCAATTGTATCAATAACTGATACTGAATATTCAAAAGACATATCAAACAACTAAATTTCAATTGGCATTTTTGGAAGGCTATAGTGACAAGGAGGTTAACGTGTCTGGTTATAGCAGATGAATTTGAAATTTTCAAACACTATGCAGTTTCCAGGTGGCAGCCACCTGGAAATTAAGTGTTCTAAGAACTCACAGTAGGTGAATAAAAGATAAACATTTGGTATTTAGTAAGGCATTTATCATAAAGTGTTGGAAATGCATGAGGAACTGGAAAACAGGAGATGTATTTGCGCAGACAAGTATTTGGGTCAAATCAAGGAATTGCAAGCTGAAAACCATATAAATAGAGTCTTAAAATCAGAAAGAAGTCTATAAAGTGGAGAGGATAAGCAATAATCAAATACAAGTTATAAAAGAATGCTCCTGAAAGCTAAAAGTATAGAAACAGAAAAAAAAGTGGCAAAATTAAAAACGGGCAATCACTGAATCCAGTCTGATAATACACTGTGTATTATATTGCTCTTTTTCTAGAAGCTAATTCTATTCCTAGCAGCCCCAGGGATAATCCTTGGTCTAGAGAAGCAGATCTTAAATGCTGGTATAAGTATTTCTGGGACATCTATGAGTTTATCCTTAAAGAAAGAGTAGAATATGCAGAAATTTAGATGAGGTTCCCAGTAAGCACCAGCAAAAAGTGCACAAGAGAGGGTGACATTTACTTTTAAGTTCCTTGATGAAGGAGAAAACTAGACAACGTTCTACATCACAGCTGCCACTTCCCATAGATTTAACTTTGGCAGAATCCAACATGCAGCTCAGAGTGGAGGTGTTGAAGGATATAAAGAGACACGACAAACTGAGAGAAAAGAAAGGAGGCCAAGAAGGATTTTCTCGAGTAAATAAAATTTGGGAGGAAAAGTTAAGAGTGTAGGAATCAACAGTCCCATTCTATGGCATAATATGATTCTAATACCTATTTGAGATGCAATGGAAGTAGCAAAATCTGCTGGATATACAAGTGTGGATCTCAGAAGGAAAGTCTGGGGTATTAGGTGTAAGTCATTGATGTAATGGTGGTATTTAAGTCCTTGGGAATTGAAGATATCATTAAGGAGAAGACATTGGAAGAATGAAAGACTCAGTATTAGGCTAATAACGAAAGCAATATATACAGACTGCATGGAGGAAGCAAAGGATATTGAGAGTAAGAGGGAAGAGCCATGTGGGACCAGAAGCCAGATGTGACTGAGGTAGACTGAGTTGCACTAAGACATAGAAATTACACCTTGGACCAACAGCAAGACAAGAGCACAATTTCTGACACAGAGTAATCACTCAACATAGGCTTGTTAAATAAATGTGTGAATAAATGAATTACAGACTAGACTAGCATGGCATTTCTAGAATTCAGAGTTGATTAGGGAAGAATGGAAATATATGGTAAAACTACAGAAACCTAAAAAGTGCTAAGGTGATGCTATAAACTTACCTGAGTTTTATTTTAATATACCACCCCAAACAAACAAAAAGTCAATTTGTCATATATTCTACTCATTAATAAAACAGTGTTCTAATTTTATAATGAAACAGGTTATTGAGAAGTAACCAATAAAACTTTTAAAGATTAGAGTCAATTTTAACTGTTTAGACAAAAGAAAAATGAATTCAATTGCTTGAAGTCCATAAGAGAAAGAAATATTACAATGGTATACAGAAATACGATAATGACCCCAAATATTTTCACTGAAATGCAACAGAAAAGCTGTAAGCCATTATCTCTTAGAAAAGAAGCAGTCCTAATGAAGTAGATTTTTGAAAATTGTCATACAGGTAAGCTCATTAGATGCAATGAAAGTGCCCCCTGCTGATCTAGGAGTACGTAATGACCAGGATTTGTTATGTCTCAAAAACAAAGGTACTTTTTAATTCATGTGATAGCTCACTGAGGAGATTTCAAATCTGGAAATTTTTAACTGACGATATATAAAAAAAACACTGAAATTCTCCAAAGCAAACATAGACTTATTTCATCCAAAACACTTACTCCTAGAAATCTCATTAATAGGGTAATATAATCATAAACAGAAATTCTGCTCCATAATCACCTACATTATAAAAAATATCTCAGTGATGGCATTTCTATTTTAAATATGAAGTTGGCTGCTCCCTGAGAAACATATTAACGGTATCTGCTGACCCATACACATACGCCAGCCTCCGCTGCAACAGATGGAAACCAGAAACCCCCAAGGCCCCAGAATGCTCCGCTGAAACACCAAAACAGAAAACAAACAGAAGAATCAAATTACCAAGTTACAACTCTGCAAGTCCTTATGAAAGTTAAATATTTTTAAAAAGCAAAATATAATATTTATACAGAATTTTAAGTATAATCAAATGAGTCAACATAGATAAATATTTCAAAAACTAAAGTTATAGTAAAAACTGCTAGAAAATAAATTCTACACTAAAAAATACATCTAAAGCAAAGTATGTTCCAGCTTACTGTCCAGTTTTAGAAGTGTTCAGTTTTAGAACTAGTATGAAAAATAGTGAACTGATCAGATATGCAAACTGTCATTATCCAAAAATACTTGCACTGCTTTAATTCTTGTTAAAGTCCTAATGTTGATATAATCTATGACTCAACCATCTTTTCCCCAGAAAAAGAACACCCTCTGTATTTCAAGGCAATTTTTACCACTTTTTCATCCACTACTCTGTTACTTATCAAACTTAACATTCACCAAGAACACCCATTTTCAATTTTCTTTTCAACATATTTGCTCAAATATTCCAAAATTGTAGAATTCTCACTTTAGGAAAGTTGATTTCCCTTAGTTAATGAACCAATCAGTTAAAAGCTATTTTGAATATCACCAAGTTGAATGTTTTTATCACATTCATTTCAATGCTCTTTTCACCTATCCCATACGGTTTAATACAAGAAAATTATTTCAATAATTTCAATTATTTTCCTTTCTTAAATTTCATTAAAACATCTCTAACTATACATATAGATAGTTTCGTCTTATATCAAGGACATTTTAAAGTAGCACAGGGGCAAAGTAAGTAATTCATTATCATTAGAACATTAGGATTTAGTAGTGAAAAATAAAATAAAAGGCTTATTTTTGGTCTTATTAATAAAAACTCCAGACTAATTATTTCCAACTTTTTTACCAAAAAGCTGTATTAAATATATACTTCAAAGAACCATACATCTCAGGACAGTTTCAAAAAACATCTCATCCAATTACACTCCTCTTTGCTGATCAAGTGCTACAATCCCCATTTTATAGAACAATTTAAAGGGAGCAGGAAACAATAAAAGTGATTTTTTCCAAGAAGGAATATTCACTCTTATAAGAAAAAAAAGTCCTACTTTAAGTTGATGAATTCCAATATTAAAAAGGAAATAAAAAGATTGTAAAAATAAGATGAAAATACTAATGAGTAGTGGTCAATACAAAAAGAATACAGATGCTCCACCATTCCAAATGAGTTGTTTTCCAAAATGTATTTATAAATTGATTGTTTGGAACCAAGTAAAATTATTTCCATAGAATCAATGTGAAATGAAAACTGGATGCTTAAGGTGGTCAAAAAATTGTATTTAAATCATATTATAATAAAGTATTAATAATAGGTCCTGAGGCTGGGCACGGTGGCTCACGCCTGTAATCCTAGCTCTCTGGGAGGCCGAGGCGGGTGGATTGTTTGAGCTCAGGAATTCGAGACCAGCCTGAGCAAGAACGAGATCCCGTCTCTACTAAAATTAGAAAGAAATTAATTGGACAACTCAAAATATATAGAAAAAATTAGCCAGGCATAGTGGCACATGCCTGTAGTCCCAGCTACTCGGGAGGCTGAGGCAGGAGGATCGCTTGAGCTCAGGAGTTTGCAGTTGCTGTGAGCTAGGATGACGCCATGGCACTCTAGCCCGGGCAACACAGTGAGACTCTGTCTCAAAAAAATAAATAAATAAATAATAGGTCCTATCCTTTCTATGACCCTTTACAACTTGAGTTGAGGCCACAGTATGGACTAGAACCACGTTAGAAATTTGGGCTTAAGAAGCGATGAATCAAAACTCTGGCAGTTTGGTATCTACTAGGACAAAGAAAGAGAGATCCACCTACAAGATGGGCAGAGACAGATTTGGAAATGGGGTAAAAGGGGGACATTGATTGTCTTCTTCCTCCATGTTCCTGTAGCCAGAATCATGACCTGACATCCTGATGACTACTCTCAGTGCCCTTTTGTGACTGGCTGGTGCATGATGGAACCTAAAGTATGGGTGGATGCAGTTCAGAGGATTGTTTGTGCGGTCACTGAAGTCATAACTTGCCAGGAAGTTGTAATAGCCTTAGCTTAAGGGATAGGTAAGTGTACCCTGTGGGTGCCTGAAATAAAAATACGTTATGCTTCCTTTTGTTGGGTGCATGTGTTTGTTTGTATGAAATATTGAGTCTTCACCTCAGGTATATAATAGTCAGTCAGTGCTTATGAATGACACTGAATCAAGGGAGCATCACCCCAGTCACAGTGGAGGAGGTTTAGGAGCAGAGGGTGGGGCCAGGAGGCACCCATAGGTTTAAACTACAGAAAAAGTGTTTTCAAATATAAGGCCTCATTGTCTAACTGAACAAATCAAACTCACAGCTCCAACCATGAGAACTCATAAAATAAATACCCTACAACTTTATTTTTAAAATGAAATATTCAATATGAAAACACTATGACAAAGTGGAAAGGATGTACAAATTCAATGCATTATTTTCTGTCTTTTAGAACTGAATAAAAGCACAAACCTTTACTAGCTTTGTCTAAATGTCCCAAATCATCCACAAAATTCAGGATATCAGGGTATTTTTCTTCACATATTTCTACCAGGAAATGAAGTAATGTTGTTTTCTGATCTGCTGATTTTGTGTCCTTTAGCTAAACAGAATGAGAGGGAGAGAAAACACAAAGTCAAAAGTATGTCGATAATCTGCCCACTTACATAATGTTAATACTGTATTTTGTAGATAAGAAATAAAAGAGTTATAAATTAATTTCATTTTTGAAAGACAAATATTTAAGTACTTGAAAAGGTACCTTATACTTCTTGTTTGGTCAAAATCATTAACACTTGTAAAAAAGGAATAAATTTCATCCAATCTAGTATGCAATGTTTTATGGGGAAATATGTGATGAAATGCCTAGAAAAACAGAATAAACTGAAAGTCTATGTAATAGTAGATTTAAAGCAACCCTGGGAATTCTTCCATTTATCATTTTGTGCATATTCCTAGAATACCTGTTAGACATTGTAGTAGTTGGAGATACAACAACAAATAAAACAGTCTTTCTTCAAGAAGCTACACACTAAAAAAAAAAAACCAAAAAAAAAAAAAAAAAAAACCCCAGAAATGAAAACATTCATTTGCCCTAGTGTGAAAAACAGTCTACTAAAAATGATCACAAAGTACATGGAGGAGGATGTGACACTGGAACCGAACCTTTGAAGACAGAAAAGTTGTATGGGGCTAGGGAAGGGAAGGAGAAAATTGGAAAGTGCAGAATGACAGGGACGTGCAGCAGCACATGCAAAGGGCTGCAGATGAGGAAGGATATGGCACATCTGCGGAGGCCAAGTGACTCCGAAACAAAAGTGTGTATGTGTTAGGGAAGGCAAGTAGGGACAGTGTAAAGACAGAAATCAGAAGAGACCAGAAAATAAAAAGAAAGGTATGACATGCAATGGAAATAGGATTTTGATTCTGAAGCAATGAATGTTTTTAAGCTGGATGAGAGATGACCAGATATACATATTAGAAAGCTCCCTCTAGTGCAGCGTGGATAAAAGATTAGAACAAGGGTAATTACAGAAGCATGAAGAGTAATTTAAAAAGCTATGGCAATAATCCAGGCAGGGAAAGAGGGCAGCCTACACTGAGGCTGTAGCCTGAGAATGGAGATAATGGAATCGAATGGGCCTGGAAATCCAGGTGATGCTGTTCATTTCCACGAGTCTGAAAGGATGAGAAACAGATTTGGGTGGTGTGAGCAAAGATGATAGTTGTTTCAATTTTGGACAAGGTAAGTCTGAAGCACTACGTAATATCCAGGTGGAAATATCCTGAAAAAAATGTAGATTTGCTTACCTAGGTACAGAACAGTGCTTTCATTATTTTTTTCATTATTGTCCTCTAAGGAACTATTCAGGTACTTTTATTCCTAATTGCACCTATGAAATTTTAAAAGCAAGGGGGTACTGCATTTATGTTTATGTACCGTATGCATATCTATGCTCTACACCTAAAAACTAGTGAGATAAGTAAGACGTTTTTACTCCCCAATGACCAAATTGTTATCTCTTTAGGATGACATTGCCCGTGTTGAGAATACATGGGTTAGACCTTAGAGGAATACACTGATTTAGCAGCACCAATTTGTGAGCTCTTCACTCCCAAAGCTAATTAGTTGAACAACTGAATCCAAACAGGTATGTAGAAAGAAAAAAGAATGCAGGCTTCAGAAGATGACTAGGGTTGACTAATCCTAATCTGAAATGGCCAAAGAATGTAATCAGAGGGAGAGGTAGTCAAGCTAAAACCTCAGCAATGACAGGAATTAGCATGGGCTTTATGTAGTGATTGGGGGTAGGGAATATTGGGCAGGGGGAAGTGGTATGAACACAGGACTGACAGATAATCTGGTAGCATTCCCTACCATTAAGTAATCACTCAGAGCAGATACACATATAAAGGCTTAAAAAAAAAATCACTGTTCTCTACCAGAATTTAATTTAGAGCTAGAAATTCATGGCATACTTAATTGGACACAGCCCTATTTACTTGCTTCCTTTCCAAGAATTTCCCACTTTAAAATAAGCTCCCAAATAAATAAATAAACATATAAATTGCCATAACTAATACTTTTAAAAAATTCGATATCACTAAATATATATCACTATTAGATAAATACCAAATAACTGCTAATATCCAATAGAGAAAGACAGAGAGATTTCTGTGCCATTACACATATTAACATACTCACTACTTATTGATGCAAAAACTGTCTTGGAAACCTTGGAAACAAGGAGCAACCCATCTAGACAGCCTCACTTTTACATGATTACATGTGTAATAGGTTCAAATGATACACCAACCTACTCAATATGTGACTCAAAGAATGGTTCCTGGCACTTTAAAAACAGACTGAAAATGAACACTTAATCCATTGTTTGGTACTTTGAAAGGAATTCCACAACATCCAGCTGAGTATTTTTAGAATGCACACTTCAAAAATATGACTCCATTACTAGCTAGACAAATTGTCACTAACATGTTTGGATGACCCGGTAATGTTAAAATATGTCTTTAACCTAGTTAATAGCCTTAGGCAAGTTACTAGACCTCAGTTTTCACACAGGTAAAATAAGAAAATGGAACTGAACATAGAAAAGGAATTTTAAATTCACTTTTTACTCCAAAAATATTTAAATATATATTATAGTAGACCTAAGTGTTAGTAGACATAGTGAAGTCTAACTAAAAAAAAACTAGAAGAAAAACTGAAGAAACCTAGTTATAATCACAGTTCAGAGTTATTTTTGTGTGCTTGGGTCAGTTAGAATCTTTCTATGGGTTTCAGTTTTTACATATAAGCCTATGAATGTCAATCCAATTTGTAAAAGTCTCCTTACACTCTATACTTTGATTCATACTATCATCTTAAATAGGTAAGGCCAGAGTGAAAGTAGCAAACTTTCACGAATATAATAAAATAGTTTTTGTCTTATACAACAACCAAGAGTTACCATAAAAGCTGTCTTCTCTTTTGTTAAAAAGTATCCTAGTAGCAAAGATCCTTTATTCTCCTCTCTCCTTACAGCAATTACTTGGGGAGTACTTTTCCTACAGTGGACTCTCTGAATGTGACCAGTCTACACCCTTCTTACTATGCCCCTTTCATGAAAAACTAGATAAATGAATGGCCTGTGTGAAATGTTGACTAAGACAAGCACCATCTAACTCTATAATTTTTAGAGCCTGGAAAGAGTTTTCCAGTAGTATTTGTTATGTAGCTAAACAGCCCACAACTGCTAGGATTAATGGTATCAAGAAATCTCAATGATGAAAAAAAAAAAAAAAGAAAAAGAAATCTCTATGATGGATCTTGATCTTTCTCATGAGTAATAAGAATTCAGAATTAGAATCCTGGAGCACAATATAGTTTGTAGCACACACCAGTTTAATAAATGTTAAGTACTCAGGTCAAACACAGATTCAAGTTATTTGGAGACAATTATAAAGCTACACACTAATTTAGGGAGGAATGTGCTATCATGGTTTGTCTTGCTGAAAACATCAACTGATTAGCAATGGCATAGTGGTAAGTGTCTAATATTAAAAAGTATACTCATTGAATAGTAAATGGAAGCACAATTCTCCCATCAATCGAAAGTCTGTATTTAACAATGGCAAGACTAAATAAAAAAAAATCAAAATTCAAGATACATAAATTTGAGACTAAGCCTAATAAATGATAAGCAGTTCAGATAAGAAACATTTTGTTGATAATGTATGGTGTCTAATTTATAAACTACTATTCAGCTTTAAACTCCAGGGCAGAGATTCTTCATTCATGTTCTAATATTCTCAGATAAAATTTCACAATGCTGCCAAGGTATTTCTCCTGCCTCAACTACTCTATTCTCTCCCTCACTCTTCCATATTACTTAAAAAAAAGTAAGCCTTCTAAAAGCATGGAAGTACAAAATGTGTCTTTATCTATTTTCTCAATATCTTTTCATTTCTTTAATAAACATTAACTAAAAAAGGCACATTCAATTTCTACTCATATCACAATCAGTGACTGGGCTAGAACGAATAAACCCTGGAAAATAATTCTGTTGAGAATGAAGAACTTAATCATGTTTTGTAATATTAAATCTTCAAAAGAAAATGAAACTAAAATATTTGCTATAAAAACTTGTTCAGGTTAAGAAATATGCTTTATTTAAATTTTAACAGACATTGTTTGACAGGATTCTTTTTGTATTATTGTCAAGAGATTTATCTTACTGATGAGTAATCATCACTGTTAAATAGAATTTCTTATTTATGTATTGTTCCTTTAAGGTACATTCAATGTGGCATAAATGTCAAATAAACAAAAAGATGGATGGAGTTTCTCCAACCACTCTGTTCATTCCAGACAAAATAACGTTAAAAGCAGATCCTGTAATAAATCATGGCCTAGTTGTCAGTCTGGAGTAATACTCCCGTGTAGCTACGATGCAAGGTTTTGGAATATTTTTAAGGTATTCAGTCAGCACAAACTTGGATGCCATTTAAAGAATATTCCATTGTCTTAGTCACATGAAGAAAATTCTTAAAATAAAAATTAAGTATCTTCTTGGTGCAATTCAGAATCCAAACAACTATAACCTCTTACTTTTTAAATAATGAAACTTACATATCCTAAGAATATTATCGAATTAGTAACTCTCTTCCCCATTATTGTGGTGCTTTAATTTAAGCAGGTATCAAAACAGCACTGATGCTTTAGATGTTGCAGACCTTGGTGAACACCAGAAACATGACAACATTCTGAGAATCTTGTAATGACCCATGAAGATTCTACCTCAACTTGTGAATAATACTAATGCTGAGGGTGACAGCAGCAATTCTTGTTTGGCACTTACTATGAGACATAGACTAGCCAAATAATAAAACACATTAAGTGCTTAAAACATCTAACATCCCTAAAAGGAAGAGACTAGTATTACATCCATTATGAGAAGAAAACAAAAGGCTGAGCTCAGTAGCATCCCTATAGTCTCAGGTACTGGGTACTGGGGAGGCTCAGGTGGGAGGATCCCTTGAGCCTAGGAGTTGAAGGCCAGCCTGAGCAACAAAGGGAGATCCTGTCTTTAAAAAAAGAAAGAA